CGAATATTCCATGACGCAACAAACATGCACCTATTTATTGTATGTATTCATGGGGTTTTCAGATTGTGAGTATGCTTACACCTACAATTATGCACTTCATTGTGTATATATATAGTGTGTGTGTGTGTGTTTGTGTGTGTGTGTGTGCGCGTATTTAATGGTTATGAATTAGCATCACCCTCATAAATGGTGTCTCAAATAACCCTAATATTCTCATGATTAAATACCCTTAAATGACCTATTAATGATCACTATGAAAATGTGTGCATGCATGAAGTTTATTGGGAGCGCAATGACGCAACCCATCTCTCTATTTTGAGTTTTGGGTGATTCAGGGCAACGACCCTGTTGTGGAGTCTCCTTTGTCCTATAGTGATTTGGAGGAGTGTTGTGATGCTGGGGTCTCAAGTGCTCGGTTTATTGAATTAGATTTTTTATTTGGCATTGAATTTGATTTTATTTTCTCAATCTCACACGAAAATGATGTCAACAATTTAAAACCTCTTGCATGTATCTATGAAGTGTTTTGTATGTATGCGAGTGTTTGAATCTATTCTGATGCTAGTCTTGGGGTCTATGTATATGATTGAAAAATCTAAAAATCCCCCCCTATGAGCATAGTAATGTTAGGGTATAGGCGACACTGCGCGCGACATTGAGTTCTTTATCTATGTGACGTTGGGGAAACGCATCGACACTATGCTTTCAGTTGGAGTGTTAAAACTTTTTTATATATATATATATACTTTAATAGCACTAAATTTTCTCTAATTTTTTGGCATTTGTACAAATCCTTAAGAAATTGATACCTATCGGTACAAGTAGGGTTTTGTGATAGCTATGTGTCCGCTTTACAAACCGATTTCACAACTTTTTTTTAAATATGTTATTTTATAGAAATTTTTCTATAATTTTTTTTAGCGTCAAAATTTGAAAATATAAGAAAATCTACATAAATTTAAAATTAATATGAATAAATTTATATATTATAATTATTTATTATAAAATAACTTTTTTAATTCACATAGTCCATTAAATCCCTTAATCCCATTCATTTCATTTGAAGAGAGACATGTTAGGGGAAATTAGAGAGAAATGAGCTAGCGGAGAGAGAAAATAGAACTTAGAGTTTGGAGGTCATAGAACAATTTTGGTCGGTCAACCATATTGAGAAATTTGCTTGTTTCATTGTAAGAAATCATTACCCTATTTTTTATTTCAAGAATTGTGTTTTATCTATTTTAATATGGTTAAAACTTATAAAAGTTGTGATTAATTTTTAGCAAACTTTTATTGCCTAACTTTTAATATGTGATATGTGTCAATAATATGAGTATTCTGACTATAATATTATTAAATTAATTTCACTTGATAAAATAAAAGTTATTAAATTTAATATGATTTGTACTAAGTAAATAATTGGATACTTTTATTTAAGCACACTTTTAATACAAGCATTGAGAATAAAGATGGATATATAATTGGGTAATAGCTGGTTGTTATTATTATTTATTACTATAATAATGTGATAATAATATACATGAAGACAAGTAAAAATTTGATTTCAATGGCATTGGTTGGAGATTGAATGATTTGAACAAAATGGTGGGCCAACATGCTTTCCTTTAAATATTATGATTTGTAATTCACTAATGATTCATGTGGTAATGATTAGAAATTATAAGGAAATGTTTACTGTGTTGACGAGCAGAGAGATATAACTCTATTTATTGAGCCAACAAATTACTGATATTTTATGATAATGAAAAATACCAATTAAGATGTAATTTCTTACTTATTTAGTGTAACTAGTAAAATGTACGGGTGTCAAAAATTGACATGACCCGAAACCCGACCCGGACATGACTCGAAAAAATCTGGGTTTGGGTCAACCTGTTTGTGAAATGAGTCTGGTATGGATTTGAATTTCTGACCTGTTTGAAAAAAGGGTTAGGTTCGAGTTGACCTGACAACTCGCGGGTCAACTTGTTTAACCCGGATCCCATGTTTTCTCAGGCCTCCCCCGGAGCTCGTTTGTGACACAATCCGCTCACTCCGACTTCGCTGGTCTGCGTGAATCCTTGGTTAAGCCTCACCTCACTCTAACTCCATCGTCCCCCAACTCCGCATCTCCGCCTCACTTCGACTCCGCATCTCCTCCTCACTCGACACCGTCCTCCGACTCCGCCTCACTCGACTTCGTCGTCCGCCGACTCTGCCTCATGCAACTCAACAACTGTTCCTGTGGGTTTGCGGGTCGATTCGGGTCAACTCGGTAACCAGTACGGGTTGGGTTCGGGTTAGAAATCCTGACCCATTTAGCTAAACAGGTAGGGTTTGTGTCAACCCGTTTATGCCTGAGACAAGTCGGGTTCGACCCGAACCCAAACTGTTGACTCGAATTGACACCCCTACTTAAATGGATGTTATTAATTCATTCACTTTTTTATTGTTATTGTTTACTGACTTACTGTTATTGCACAAATTTATTATTATTGCATTGCTTTTTTATTACTTCTATCAATTTTACTGATGACATTGTATTGACACTAAGCATGTTACATACTAAGTATGTGATATACTGAGCATGTGATTAAAATACTTATTGAATACTAATATAAAATATCTAGATAGTATGTGTACATTATTATAATATGTTATCATCTTGATATAATTTCAACACCGATATTTTTAGGTTTATCACTTTATATGATTTCTTTTCTAATTGATAGTAGTGATATGAAGACCATTTTATCAATTCAACACCCATATTGATTTACTAGTTTCCCCACCTCACTACTTCACTAGCTTCAAATATCATACTGTTTTACTGGCTACATATTTTATTGAGAGTGAATGAGTATTTTATTATTTACGTATTGATTTTTGATCATGTGACTGTTACTACTATGAATTGACTGATGACATTCATATTGCTTCTTTGATGTGCTTTGAGTCAATTATAACATTTGGTTACTTGTTAGGCTCTTGAGCTCATTATATATGGTTAAATAATTTTAGATTAGGGCAAATGAGCATGAGTATAAAATTAACCATGATCTTTTAAGTTCTTATTCTTATTATTTAACTATTATTCTATACTCATAATAAAATAGTTGTGATATGATTGTATAGATCTTATATAGTATACATAATTTTTTAAAAAATAAATATAGATGTATATATTAATATTTTGATCAATGGTTTTTCTACTAGTATTTATATTAATAAAAGAAATTATGTAGCTCTTGTTATTGTATATTAAAAGATAAAAGAATAATTCTTTTAGATTATGTTTTAAAGTGTCACAGGTTGACGGTTAAAATATAATATTCTGCTTAAGAGGGTGAATCGACTGACTTTCATTTAAAGATGATTTGTGGTGTTATTCCGATTATAGCTTGTCAGTGATTACTAATTATCACATTAAAAGCCTATATAAGTCCTAATACTAAATAACCCATTTATGTCCAAAGAACTCTAGCTCACTTGCAACAAATTATTTTTTAATCCTTAATCCAAAAAGGTCATAGATTTAAACTGCAAATTTAATGATATATTATTCAACATTTCTCTTTAGATTATTTTTTTATAAAATAGTTAAAATAAAATAAAATATGCTTGTTTTCTTACAAATTAATTTATTTAAAAAATAATTAAAATAGTGAAAATTAGACTTTTTAAGTTTTTATCCTCCATAATGTGCTTTTTTGATAAAGATCTTCCCTTATATATTTATTTGAGCAAATTGATATTAATTATGATTTGATTTGATAAAATAAAAACAGTTATATTTAAGTAATGTTATAAATTCTTAAGTAACAGTTAATTAATATACTATATTATGCTCATATAATTTAAGCTGTCTGATTAAAAGTATTAATTAACAATTAATATTTAGTCAAATAAATTTGATGTATGTGCATTAATTTATTAATTTAATTCAACATTTTTTATTAATATTAGTTAATTAAAGAGATATTACCAAATAAATTCTTATGATTCTTTATTTTAACAAATGAAAATTATTATATAATTAACTTGATAAATTATTAAGTAATAATTACTTAATATATTACCTTATGCTAATCATAATTTAATTAATTTAGTTTTTATCATCATAGAATAAATAAATATAATAAAATATCTTAATCATTTAATTACTTAAATTCATTAAATATTTTTAAAATTATAATCTGATTAATTACTTATCATGTTAAATAATTTTCAGGTCACCCTAAAAAATATTTTTTTTTTCAGAATTTAAGTGATTCTGAATTAAATCTGAAGTGGCTCTGAATTAGATCCGAATTTAAAGAGTTTATTAAATGCTACTTGCAGCTGAACAGCCCATAAAATTGATGTTCATTCAGATTACTTTATCAGACGTAACAGGTCAAAAGCGACAAGTACCTCCGCACCTAGCTTCTCTGATTGTCTAACTGTCAACACGGTCCAACCTACCCGCTGGACCGGCCGCATTCGCCCGGCTCTCTCATTTCCAAACGAAAGGCGCGCCGGCCGCCGGCTCTGCTTTCTAAAACCTCCTGAACCATCGATAGTTGCCCTCTTATAAATGCTTGCCCACGGCACCCTCCATCAGACCTTGGTAGCCCCCATTTCCCCGGCCTTCGTCCGTTGATGCGATACCTTTCTTCTACTCTCTTCTCAGGCCGAAGCCCTAGCCCTACCCATCTCCTCACCAGCTTCGCGAGGACTTCTTCTCTGTGCATCTCCGGATTTAGATATCTTTGTTCGGGTCATCCCTGTTTCTTTCCGTCATCGAGGTTCCGTTCTATCTACTGGCCGATTCTGCGAGTACATCCGTGGAGGCCGTTCTCGGTTGAGTCGGGTTTGACCCGGACTTCCTTTTCTTCCTTTCCTTCTGTTGGGGTAGCCATGTCCGTGGTGGCTAGTAGGGCCGACGAGGCCATTTCGCTGGCGAAGAAATCCTGGTTAAAGTCGCAAAAGGAGGCCATGCTCGCTAAGTACACCCCGTTTGTAGTATGCTTAGCGTCGGGAAAACTTGAGCAGGAGACGTTCCGACAGTACATTGCGCAGGATATTCATTTTCTAAGATCGTTTGCCCGCGCGTAAGCTGATGAGATTACTCTTCCTTTATTGATTGTGTTCTTTTTTGTTACCGCTGGTCGTTGGCCTAGGGTTTCTATTCCAGAATTCCCCCCTCTATCGATGTTACCTGATATTAGTAGCCAAGTTTTGTGATGCGCGGTTAAATCTTTTCGTATCTTAGCTTTGAGGTGTTGCGGTGCATGATTTAACGTATCATTCTTGTTCATTTTCTTAAGGTTTTCTTGATATTGGAATATTTCGAGATAGTCAAACAGTCTAACGTAATTGGAGGTCAAATAGCTTAATTTTTAGACAAGTTGTATTTCCTGCCGCTGAACGGTTTCTTCTTTGTGCTTAAATCCTTGGTTAGGTACGAGAAAGCTGAAGAATATGCTGACGATGACGATGCCAAGGCTACAATATCTAAATTGTGGAGAGCTATCACCGAGGAGATGAAATTGCACAACTCTGTTGTTCAAGTAAGTTTTTTCTCTTTTTAATGTTTGTTTGGCGTTCATCTTCTTTTGTTTCCTTGCAGACATCTACGTCGCTATTTTGCTGTTTTACTGCTCACTGAGGTAGTTAAGAATCGTTAAATTGGCAGTTCTCATGTAATCCTATATCACACAGCAAATGTCAAGCGCGGGTTGAAGAAAATATCTGAGTTATCACTAATATAAAGATGTTTCAGATTCCTTCAGTTAAAATCTATATTAATTGATAACCTTTTCTAGAAAACCAATTTTATATAAAGAGGGTTGACTAGCAATGGACTAGAGCATAAGCTTGATAGTTTTATGTTGTTTATGAATAAAGAGGGGTAGAATTTCTTTTCCTTGTGCGGGCCTTCACAAGGAAGAAGCTCAATATTTTTTCTTGGCAAATGAAGAATCAAAAGATTAATCAGGCAATAATGAGATGATAACTTGAAGTTCAGCATTAAAGGCTTTGAAATGTTTCTTGCATTGTTAGATGTGTTTTGGCAGAACAACTCAACTGTTGTCCAGCTGAAACTAGTCCAAGTGGTCATTTTTTTTTGCGTCACAGTTTAGAAGGTGTTTGATTTGTTATTGTTTATTTTTTTTTTCTTTTTTGTATTAAGTGCATGATTGCCATGATGGATCATTTTAAGTTCATGAATACGGTGTGTCTAATTTATCAGAAGAAATTCACATCACTTGCAACATACATTGGGGTTTTTCAACTTTCCAGAGGCTAGTATAAGGCATGGGTAGCTAGATGTGTAGATGCTTGTGAAATTTTTTATTATTTTGAATTAGATTAGTTTGAAATACATTGCTTGTTGATTTAGAACTGATCATCTTTTACTTGACTTGATTCATTTTGGTGTAATTCTTGGGTTGCTCATCATAGGAAAGGCTTTAGTATGGTGTATTCTCTTGTGTACGTTTGATAAAAGAGAGCCTGCATCTTGCTGGATTTCTTTTTCTTGTTACTTTAAATTATAAAGCATTTTTTATGTAAAACATGGATTGATGACTTGATGATCTTTGCAAAGGAGTAAACTTGGTTATTCCCTTATTTCTCTCCACTCTCTATCTTCTAGCTTGAGAAAGGATTATGAAAGCAATAATCAAAGTGTTGTAGCATATCTCTTTATCTTTCCTAGTTTTCTATCTCTTTCATTTCTTGTCATTTACTATTTATCAAAAACGGGAGGTAGCCCTTATCAACTATGTTTTTCTGAGAAACAATTGAGCTTTGCATTCAAAGCATTTTTTTTTTTTGAAAAAAAATAAATGATTAACTTTTATATATAGTTATTCTTAATTGACCTTTGATTATACATTATTTTTACAAACATAACAAGTTTATATTAAGCATTTATTCAAGCCATAGATGGGACTTAATCAACTTTGGATAAAGATTCTCATGCTCTTTTGACAAGAAAATGATTTTTAAAGTTTTGTTCACAAGTTCAATAGTTAATTGACCAGTGTTTTTTGTGTTTGCTCGTTGTTAAGGGGCTGCTTGGTTGGAATAGTTTTGAGTGCATTTCATTCTAAATGTAAGGATTTTCAAAATTTATGTATTTGATTGGAGGAAAACAAATGCAAAGCAGTATTTTGAGGAATTCCATATTCCTCCTCCACTTCAATTGTTTCATTTGTAATTCTCCTAAATCATGCAAATTTAGAATTCATGATGCAAAACTTGCGGCATCATCTTTGCAAGATCTCATGATCACCCTCGTCGCCCCCCGCCTGACAATTACCGCTCGTGATTGGCATCCATCTCACTCCTGATGATCTTGTAACCCATGATGTTGTCTCATACACTTTCCTATTTGCTCTCCCAAGTCGTAGCCGCATGCCTATGCATGCAACAATGTACGCGATGCCCAAACCCTTCCCCTGCATGCTTGAGACAACACCATGCCATCTAAGTGACGATAGTTTCTGTGAGGACGCCTATGCCTACTCCTGCTTGACCCCAACCCCGATCTTATTGACCCCACAACCCACTATTGTCTCCATTTTCGGTGGTGTTGTTGGGCCACTAATGCCCTAGAGTAATGTTTTTCTTTTTTATTAGCTGACCAAAGCAAAGGCATTTACCTGGATTTAGTACAGTTGCAGCAAAAAAAAAATTGAAATTTTTTGAATTCATTGAGTTTATTTTTACATTGTATTTACAATGCACCTTAATTATAAATACTTGCAATAAAAAATCCTAAAGTTTTATAAATTCCATGGCATTTAAGAATTTTGACCTGTGCCCCTCAAATTTTAAACAAGTGTCATGCATCTCATTTAATATAAGAAAAATTAAATTACTCTTTCTGAAAGTTTTCTTAATTTATTTTTGACAAATAACAGTTTTATTAATGTTGTTCATTCTTTTTTTTTTCATGTAGCCGACCCCACGTAGTGGGATAAAGGCTTGATGTTGTTGTTGTTGTTGTTGTTGGTCAATCGTTGCCCTCCCCTTGACAGGGTGATGAGACCTTATATCTTTAATCCTTTGCTTCCTATCACAACTAACACTTGTACTTTCACAGACAAAGTCTGTCTTATATACTTAAAAAATTAGAGGGTGTGAACTCTAACAAATTCATGTTCTAAAGGAATAAACACATGGAGATAGTGGTTAACAAGTTGAGAGACCTCCCTTAATTCCTCCTCAACCTTCAAAATTTATCTTGCCTACCTCTATAGAAAGTATTGGCCAATCTCACTGATGGAAAAGATAAAAAGGGTGGGTGGGGAATTATTTATATATCTATAAAAAATAGAAATATATTATTGATTCTTTTATCTATGCTAAAGTTAGGGAATTCAGTTATAAAATTGTTGACCTAATAGTTTTGCAAGAGGTTGTACCCTGGTGTATGCTTTTTGCAGATGATATTCTTCTTGTTGATTAGACTAGAGAGGGAGTTGAAGAAGATAAACTTGAATTATGGAGGTCAACTTTAGAGTCTAAAGGTTTTCATTTGAGTGGATTTAAAACCAAATATATGGAGTATAATTTTTGTAATAATAGATCTAGTAGGGGGATTGTGACTTTGAGCAATCAAGTCATTAATAATAGTCAAGGTTGTGAAAATCGGACCGGACAATGAACTGGAAGAAAGAGAGGTTCACGGTTCGAACCGGATAATGTAATAAATAAGAATATTATTAAAAATTAATAAAATTAAATAATATAATATAGGTATATTAGCATTTAATAATATTTATAAAATTTTTAAAATATATAAAAAAATTATTACATATAAATACTTCATTTTAAGAATAATGATATTTATATATTTTTATTTTATAAAAATAATATTATATAATATATAAATTTATAATAATAAAATTATATTATAATTATATAATATATGTTATATCAAATTATATAATGCATATTGTCCAAATTTGTAGCCAACTAAGTCCTAATTTTTGTGACCCAAACTAGCTTAAATTCACATATCTAAACTATTCATGAATTTTAGCCCACCATCATAGGAGGAGTTGAAGATATTGCTTTTTAAACTCCTTTTTTATAAAGTGTGAAGTTCGCTTTAACTAAATAAAAATTATTGTGAGTTATTTAAAGTTAACTTGCATATAATATTGGTGAAATAATGATCATATAATAAAAAGTATTAAAAAGTTAAAATAATTTAATAAACTAAAATATATATTATTTAAAAATTTAATTAAAACATAATATATATATATTATATAATATATATATTATATAATATATATCATATATCATATATATTTATATATATATATATATTATATATATATTATATTAAAACCGGAGGTTCTTTCCAAATACCGGACCGGTTCAGTGGTTCTCCGGTTGAACTGCCAGTTCAATCCGTTGAGATTGTCTCTTTGTTATTATTTTTTTATTTGATGTTTGATGTAGAGCCAGTTCTGTAAGCTGGATCGGACTGGCCACCAAACGGGTTCACAGTTGAACCGGTCGGTCCGGTTTTCAAAACAGTGATAATAGTATACATTTTAAATATCTTGGGTATATTATTCAGAGTGATGGTGAAATAGATGAGGATATTATTAGTAGAATTCAAGTTGGATGGTTGAAGTGGAGGAATGCATCTAGCTTGTGTGTGATATAAAAGTCTCCTTCAAACATAAGAGAAAATTCTATAAGATGGTGGTGAGATTTGCAATGTTTTATGGCGCAGAATGTTGGCCATTAAAAGAGAAGTATAATATTAAGTTAAGTGTTGCAGAGTTGAGGATGCTCAGGTGGATGAGTGGCTTTAGTCTTAGAGACAGGTTATGAAACGAGCATATGCATGAAAAGGTTGGAGTAGCTCCAATGGTAGATAAGATTAGAGAGAGTCACCTTAGGATGGTTTGGTCACACAAAACAACGGCCTTCTGATGACCCGGCTAGGAGAGTAAATGTATTCGATTTGGCTCATGTTAAGAAAGGTAGAGTTAGACCTAAAAAGACTTGTCATAAAATATTAAAAATGACATTTCTTTATTAGATTTAAATGAGAATTTAACTCTTAATAGGACACAATGGAGAAAAAAGATTCATGTAGCCGACCCCATGTAGTGGGATAAAGGCTTGATATTGTTGTGTTGTTGACCTAATTGTAAATGATAGAAGTGTTAGTTATTTAATAGATACACACCCTAAATGTGGTAGTCGTTGATATAATCTTCCTTAAATATTTTACATTAAAATGACTTTTTATTATTTTCACATCATTTATAATGGGAAAAATCATTATTATTACTTATTATGGGATTTGACATATCCTTTTGGGTTGTTCCTTGAAGCTTCAAAGATTGGATGAAATGACAACGATGTTTCATGTAATTTGATAGTTAATTTTCATGAAAGTTCTTGAAAAGAAAGGAGTTAATAATGCTTATATTTAAATCATTAAAGATATGTATGCAAGAGCTATTACTTGTGTTCGAACACTAGGTGGTTTGACCATGTATTTTCCTATTTTGGTTGGATTACATCAAGGATCAGCCTTAAGCCCATATCTTTTTTGCTTTAGTAATGGATGTTTTCACTAGACATTTGTAAGAGGATGTACCTTGGTGTATGCTTTTTGCTGATGATATTCTTCTTGTGGATAAGACTAGAGCGAGAGAGTTGAAGGTAAACTTGAATTATGGAGGTCAACATTAGAGTCTAAAGGTTTTCGTTTGAGTAGATCTAAAATTGAATATATGGTTAATAGTAATAGACCTGGTGAGGGGATTATAACTTTGGCGATTAAGTCATTAATAAGAGTACACGTTTTAGATATCTTGGATCTATTGTTTAGAGTGATTGTGAAATATATGGGGATATTATTAATAGAATTCAAGTTGGATGGTTTAAGTGGAGGAATGCATCGGGCTTCTTGTGGGATAGAAAAATCCCCCTCAAACTTAAGGGAAAATTCTATGAGATTGTGGTGAGATCCCTACAATGCTTTATGTTGCAGAATGTTGGCCATTGAAAGAAAAGCATAATACTAAGTTAAGTGTTGCTGAGATGAGGATGCTCAGGTGGAGGAGTTGATTTACCCTTAAAGATAGGATATGAAATGAGCATATACGTGAAAAGGTTGAAGTAGCTCCAGTGGAAAATAAGAGTAGAGAGAGTCGCCTTAGATGGTTTGGTCACATAAAACGATGGCCTTTCGATGACCCGGTTAGGAAAGTAGAGGTATTAGATTTGACTATATTAAGAAAGGTGGATGTAGACCTAAAAAGACTTGGTTATAAAATATTAGAAATAATCTGTCTTTATTAGATTTAAACTATAATTTGACTTTTAACCTGACACAATGGAAAAAAAGGATTCATGTAGCCGACCCCACGTGGTGGGACAAAGGCTTGATGTTGTTGTTGCCTTGTACTTTATATATACTTGATTGTGATGAGTTGAATGAACCTTTCTTGCATCCCTTATTTAGGCTTGTTTGTTTATTCTGCTCTTTTTTTAAGTTTGCACAACTTACATCGAGGATTTAATAGTTCAGATGCTTGAAGGATAACATCTACATAATGAGAATTCATTTTATTATTTTTTATCTTTATTCCTCTCATGTTTCTTATAAATTCTATTGGATCTATAATATTTCTTCCTATTATATCACATTATTATCAATAGTAAAAGTCATGGTATTTTTGCACTTGTCTTCAACAATTTTGCTATTTTTTACACTTATTTCATCAATTTTCCATAATTTTGATTTCCAATATCAGTTTCTTGCATTTTTCTTCCCACCATGCATTTTTCTCTCACCTTGTGTGCTTTTTACCCTTCTCCACTCTAAAGTCTCCTCTCACCTCACTTGAGGTAGCCTTGGAAACACCATTTTGTGTAATTCCTTGCCACATGCTTTCCTTTTTTTTCCCTCATGTCTCTGCTCTACCTTCTCAAAACATTGCATCTCTTAAAAATTTTCAATTACCCTTCTAACTCTTTCGAAAACTACCCATTTCTGATTTAAATTCAAATTTAATTAAATCCTAACCTCTTTCTAAAAACTTCTCCACAAAATTAGCAAATCTTAATCCATCTCACCTTATATTTGTGTTCCTACATTATCTCACTCCAATGAGTTAGTCACAGTCATGAATTCCTAGAATCCCATATGCCCCCTATGAACTTAACCCGAAGCTTTTCTCTTCCTTTCTTTTTTATTCTTAAAAAAGTGAGCCTTCTAATACGCCTTGGAAGCAAAAATAGCAAACAACAAATAGAAAAATAGCAATAAAATCAAAACAATAGCTGATTTAGTATTAATACTTCAATAGGAAACTACAAGATACAGATGATCTACAATTCGAGAGGTAGATCGGCTCTCCTAAACAACCTAGACGCTGTTGGGAAGCCTCCAAGTAAAACTACAGCAAAAAATCCAACAAAAACTCTCCCATAAACCCCAGACAACTCTCCCCTTGTTTTTTATTTTTTTAATTTTTCTTTTTTTTTTGTTTTTTATTTTTTAATTTTTATTTTTTTTATGTTATATTTGTGTTCTTACATTATCTCACAGAAAAACCTCCCATAAACCTTAGACAACTCCTCCTTAAATAGTCATAATACGGAAGAAACATATATGGAAGCTTCCTAAGCTTATTTTGAGACGTCTTTCTTACTACTTCTTAAAGCAGCTTTTTAGTTAAAAATTTAATTTTTTTACTAAAAATTTGCTTTAAGGAGCAGCTAGAAAGCCATCCCAAACGAAGCCTAAATATCCAGTAGGCTATTTTTCTTTGTAATCTTATTCTTTTTTATCATCAAACTATTCTAAAGCACTTTTAATGAAGCCATTTTAATTATAGTGATTTTTGATGGTGCACCCTAATATAACATTCAGATTAAAATAAAATTTAAAATTTAAATAAAATATTAAGTATGCGTGCTTAGGGCGCGGAGATTTTTACAAGTGTTGTGTAAAAATCTGATGAGAATAAAAAAATTCCTGACTGGCTCCATTCTTTTCTTATGGGCTTTTAGGAGTTGTTGCCGATTTCAATGATAATTCAATAGCTTTATTCTTTGGGGCATTCAACATCTGAAACTTGAAGATCCTATTGAATTTTCAAGTCCGTTGCCTCTGCGGCATCACACAGCTGTGGGCATGTTGGATATATTTATAAGATATTGGCTGGACTTACACGTTTGTGCCTTTCTGACGTAAGTTGTTTTGCAGGATTGGGGAGTTGACCCTAGCAAAGAGATTCCACCGAACCCTGCTACACTTAAATATACAAACTTCTTGGATGCTACATCTAACGGCAAAATTGAAGTAGGAAAGGGTGTTGGCAAAATTGTCACTCCTTTTGAGAAGACAAAAGTTGCTGCATATATAGTAGGTGCGATGGTTCCCTGCATGAGGCTTTATGCCTTTTTGGGTAAGGAGATTGAACCATTTCTTAGTCTAGATGGAAGTGCTCATCTCTATACGAGTTGGATAAAAAACTATTCCCCCTCAACCTTTGAGGTAATCTTCAAGCTCTGACATTGCATGTCATCTCTTTGAAGATCCTAAAACTATGTATTCATGTATATACTATGATTCCCTTATAGCTTCCCCTTCTCTTTTCTTTCAGGAAGCTGCTGTACAAATAGAAGACCTGCTTGACAAACTGAGTGTTCCTCTAACTGGAGAGGAGCTGGATGTTATACAGAAGCTCTATCATCAAGCAATGAAGCTTGAGATTGATTTCTTTTTGGCACAGCCAATTGCTCAATCTTCTGTAGTTCCATTGTCAAAGCTACATGATCCGAAGAACAGGCTTTTTATATTTTCAGATTTTGATTTGACATGTACAGTGCTTGATTCCTCTGCCATTTTAGCTGAAATCGCAATTATAAAGGCTGCAAAATCTACTGATCTACCTGTTGCTGATAGCTCAATCAATCAGATGTCCTCTTCTGAATTAAGAAACTATTGGAGAGATTTATCTGGGCAATATACCGAGGAGTATGAGCATTGCATAGAAATCTTATTACCAGCTGAAGAAGGTAAACTATTGATCACCTGATTGTTATCTATTATCCATATAGTAGATTGTAATCATCAAATATAGGTAAACATAATATTCTTATTGGAGAGTGAACTGATCTGTAGTTTTCTCATTGGTTTTGTTTCCTTAGCCAAGACATTTTCTTCGGAGAATCTTTACCAACGTCTGGAACAGCTGTCAGACTTTGAGAAAAGGGCGAATACTAGAGTTATCCAATCCGGAGTGTTGAAGGGAATGAATGTAAATGACATAAAACGTGCAGGAGAGCATTTAAATCTTCAAGATGGGTGCTCAGTTTTTTTCCAGAAAATTGTTGGATTGAAGGAAAGGCTTAATGCAGATATTCATATTCTTTCATATTGCTGGTGTGCGGATCTCATAAGGTCTGCCTTTAAATCAGGTATAATTTTGATCCGTTACTGTAGTACATGCAACTCTTTTCATAGGTGTATTTCCTTGATATCTTGTTCAATTGAGCTACATTTAGTGATTATGTTTGAAGTTTGCGAAATCTAAAATTTTGGTGCTTCAGCCCAAGTAATTTAATCTTAAATTTTCAGTTGTAACTTGTGGAACTTCGATTGAACATTACAAAAATTTCAATGAGTTCCTTTTGGCGCATCCACCTTATCCTTGACTTGTCCATAACCTTCTTTTGGTAACCGGCTAAATTCCATGCTTTAATTACATTATTTGGATCATAAATTTCCCATCGAACTATGCATAAATTTTGACATCAGTTTCAGATCTCAAAGCACTAAAAAAGGACAAACCAAACTCTTGCAAAAATTATTTCAAGGAGCAAATGGACTCATAGTCCTGTGAATTTATGGTCAAAATGTTCATCTAGTTTCAATGATTCCAACGACACTAAAATTTGCAAAACCAATCAATACTTGTATGAGCTTTAAACTGACTTTAATAGTAATAGTTTGTTTCAGTTCAATCTAGGGGGTTGACCGACCTCCTTTCTCAGGCTAGGGAGTGCATGAGTCATATGGTCAAGGAGGCAAGGACTATCAGCAATTGCTCACCAATTTTGCCATTCCAGTTGGTGAATTAGGCCCTTCGCACCTTCTCTCTAGAAATGATCTATCCATGCCTCAATTTGTGACGAGGCTTTCTAGAGTTTATATCACTTTTTTTTTTATTGGCAAGTAGTTTGTGTTAGCTCGTCTCTAGGAGATGAATATTACTACACAAAAATGATAATCTGTTGTCATTGTTTTGTGCCTACCATTAATATGATCATTAAAACTTCTCTGAGTTCTTGCAACATTTATAGACCTTTGATTCATTAACTGTTTACAGCACTGGTTTGCTCTCCAAGGAGACTTCCATTTTAAGCAAAAATGACAAGATGGAATTTGATCCCTAAATTGTTTCAAAATTCTATCCATAAGTCCGATTGTTGTAAATTTTATTTGCAAATTTTATTAGATTCATGGCATCAGAACTTATAAATGGTGTACTCCTTTAATCTGTTGGAGCATTATCAACAATGACCGCCATCAATCCAATCATTATCCATCAATCCACTCACTATAAAATCTGCCTAAAGTGGTATAATTTTTACTAGTAAGCCATGCTTTGATGGATTTTCACCAGAATTCATCTTTTGATAATTGTTCCACTCCAAACATTTTTCAATGTTACAAAATCTATCAAAAAAGGGTGCTTGGATGTATTTATGATATTTTTCCTTAACAAAAAATGGTGTTTCGGTGCTACAAAAAATTTTTAGGTTGGTTAGACTGCCTCTAATTATCGACAGTTGTGCAGTTGACAAGTTTGTTGAAATTTTGAGCTGGTTAGTTGAAATTTTTCTTCCAAATTAACCACCAAAAAAATCTAGTTGATTTTTTGTCGCTTATTTCCGACAAATTATCAGTTCAATATTCACTGTAAATTGAAAATTTTTTGGTAGTAGCTTGCTTAGCAGGTTAATCATCTATTTGTGTTCTCATATATACAACAGATATATAACATAATCAGTCATATATACGTAATATAAAGAACATTTAAAATGGAGTAAGATCCTTCACATAATTAAGAATATCACTAAAAAGCATTTTAGTTATTATAAATTATCACATATTTAATTTTACAGATTGTCATTCCTCTTACATCTCATTTCACTTGACAGCTTACTTCCTTCCCTCTCTTTCTCATTATTTTTATTTTCATCTTAATCATCCTCTTTATTTTCCCTCTACATACCCATCAACTTCTTGAAAATCATCCTCAATATTGCTATATGGATTCTGCCATCTTCTTGTGGAGCAACCTCACAAGTCTCTTTATCTTCAATCTTACCTCTTGGATTAGTCTTAATCATTGTTGGCCAATCTACTTTGCCTCTTAATCTTCTCGGATAGTTTGCATGGTGGATCAATGTTGTCTATTGTGTGAGAATGAAAATATCAGATTTTGCATATCTTTTACTCTGCCATTACCTCACTAATTTTGTAATACTTAGGTGCTATTGTGCCTTTACTAGGTATGTGGCATAAACATTACAACTGTATAGTAAGAAATTTTTTTCTTCATATAATTATATTGATGGCTTAAAAAGGTGAAACCAAGAACAAATGTGCTTTACCTTATCGATTCGAGGTGTAAGCCTAAAACTATAATCATAAAAACTTGTAAAATTAAAGACAAGTGATAAATATATTATAAATCATTAATATAGATTTATTTCATAATCATAAGTCATAAAATCACACAATAAGAAAAACAGATCATATGAGATTCTTAAATATTAATGTAATACTTTTTATTCTTATGTGAAACAAGATTCAAGTTATGCTCTCAATTAATACTTAAATATGTCAAGAGTATTAGGATCCACATTGTCCTGTTCTTTACTTTCAAAATCTTCAAATGAAGCATTATATGTAACAGTTCAATTATTGCCCAATTTAGTGTTTTTATTGTCCTCAGATTTTTTTTTAATCGCTATATTTTTCTTCTTACTCTCTATATCAATTAACATTAGAATCATATGATTTAAAAGTGATGAAATACTTGAAGTTGAAGAGAAGAAATTGCCTTGAGAGATGTTTAATGAGCTATCCATTCATTATCAGATAATACATAATCAACACTTAAAATGATCAATTTCATCATGTTCCTTCTTCTCTATAACTTGGGGTGTCCATCTTTAAAATTTTTTTTAACGTGCCTTTTGATAACACGATCATAACATGATCATCATTTTTGTAGCTAATCAACTCCTCGTTATATGCACTTGGTTGAATGCGCTCCAGTTATGCTCACTTTTCCATTGTTTTAGATTATAGTGAAAAATTGATGATGATGATGATATATATATATATATATATATATATATATATATATAAGAGATATTGTTTTATAGTATGAATTGGTTGCTCTTAATCCAAACATTTAATTTTCATTTTTTTTAATGAAGATTTTCATGCTAAGCATTAGCCTTTAGATAATTGCCCCCATGCATGTATATAAACTACTCTTGATCTCCATGTCTAGAAGAAAATATGTCATAATGAAATTAAGGATTCAACTTATGTACAAATTATGATGTAATTAATGATGCCATTTTCATATATAATTTATTATATCTTCTTATAGTTAGCTTCTCGTATATCTTCTTATAGTTCGCTTCTCGTCAAGCTAATTACTTATTATTTCTTCCTTTGCCTTATGCTTAGGTTTATTAGATGAAGCCCTCACCATCAATTATTCTCAATACCTTTACTAGAGGACCTGTGGACTTAAGAACATATTTAATACAACACCAAAAATAATCATCTTTGGAAATTATTTTTTTCACATATTTTCCTTCAAGTTTTTGTTTTCTTATGATCTTTGTCCCGTTCATTGAAAGAAAACATGACCTTTAAACGTTCTCAAAATTCTTTGAACTTTTGCAAAGTTAAATAAGTTGCGGTGGATAATTCATTTCTCAGTGAACTTCTTTATCAACCTTAATACTCATGAATGTTTTAAAATTATTTTCTCACTATTTTTTTCTTTAAGCAAAACATATTTTGTTTACTATCCTAGCTTTTGAAGCATCAAATAGAGATAAGGGGCAGGAGATGGAGTACAACAACGATGCTTTTTTTCTCTATTAGCATATTCCTCGCAGCATTATATGGCCTGCATTATCTATTCTCAGTTGAAAAACTATGCTCTCCCCTACTTATTCTGCAATTTCATCAACTATTTTGAATAATAGAGGTTCATATTTAACAAAACCAATGCATTAATAGATTTTGAAAATAAGATTGTTATTGAGGAATTAATAATGTTCCTTTGTTTGATGTTTTGACCAACCATATGACATTATTGTTACCCCTGTTTGAACCCATGTCTTTTTTTTTATCAACCATCTTTATTATTTTTCTTACTTCCCCATCTGACATCCATATTTGAAGCTCATACATGCTAGAAAGATCTAATCATATTGACCATAATTCCAAGAGAGTGAAGCATATTAATCATTAATTGACTCTTCTCCATGTTGAATGGACTTTCTATTTTCACAAAGCATCTTGTAATTTCCAAGTGCACTCAATTTTAATGTTTTTTTTTTCCTGTTACAGTTGGAGAAGGCATTGCTTGAGAATTACTCTTCTCTTATTCATCCAAATTTACAATAAATATTTTCATTGATATTTGAGTTCCACTATCAAAAGAACGAAAAAAGCTGAGGTGTTATGACATTATGACATTCAAAACAAGGGTAGTCTTATTAAAAACTGAAGTAAGAATTATTTTCAATCATTTTCTTTTAGCTATTTCTTTTCTGAGGTGCTACAGCTTTTCAAATATTTTGGACATTCCTTTCTAAGTTCACCCAACACTTTTTTATAAAAAACTAAAAAATACAATAAAAAATCAAACAAAAGGAAATAAAAATTAAAAGCCTGGACACAAAAATATAATAAAAACAAATCAATTAAAATAAAAGGAAAATATTTGTGAAAAAGATAAAAAAATAGTGAAAAAAAAAACCATTTTAAAGAGCACTAAAACAAGTTAAAAGAAAATAAAAAAGATACTTAAAAGAAAAAATATGCTAATTAAAACTAAAATTGAAAAGAAAATCAATTTATAAAATTGTTTAAAAGTTATGGAAAGAAAGTAATAGTAATAGAAAACAAAGAATTAATTAAAATGGGATAAAGTCAACCAAACTAAAAAAGAAAAACCCAATAAAAAGAAATTTTAAAAAGTTAAGATATAATGTAAAAAATTTAAAATATACTTACTATATGTAGTGAAATGGCTTACGTGCACTCTATGCATCACATGCTATCTTATAGAAGCTACTTCAACCTTTGGCTCGCTCCCCGTCACATTTGACTACTTGCAATTCATACGCCATAATTATTTGCATTTCTACCCTCAGTCTACATACATGCTTGTATGGAACTTGTATCCATTTCCTCAATAAAGTAGTCATGCTTTCAGTATTCTCGTTAAGCTTTATGCAAGATTGTGTAATCACATGATGAATTAAGCTTACATCTTCTCATCAAATTTCTTTGAATTAGGTGTAGAAAGTGTTCTCTCATCTTATATGTAAAAGTATTTTTATTAGCACACAAGATATAGCATGAAGACACATTGCATATATTTCTTATAAAACTTATTATGGAAGGGAAGGGAAGGGAAGGGTTCCATCTTATCATAATCCAAGACATAATATTAAGGCAATCATTTATTTATATCACTCAGGTGCTTGATAAACACACATCGATTATTATTAGCACACAAAATATTGCATGAAGATATATCACCTTTATAACTTACAAATTTTACTCAAGGAAGGGTTTCACATTCTTATAACACACAACATAATATTACTACAATAATATCTTTATCGCTCAAGTATTTAGATAAAAATATAGCAGATGCTCTTCCTGGTACTCTAAAAATGGATGAGGATAATTTGAATGTCTCATCTTCAACATCCTCATCATTACTACTAACTGTAGTTTAGCTATATTGGACACATGGCTTAAAGTAGTAAGAGCGAAAAATTGGATGGTTCATGTGCTAGGTATATATCACAAATTACGTCTCATAGATGGGCTTTATATTTTATAGTTTTTGTGATTTTATTTGCAATTATGTATTCATATTTGAATATATTAGATATAACACATATAATACATTTTTAATAACAATATAATAATTTTCATATTTACCTCTCAAAGGGATAATTGTATTAATCCGCTTACTACTTTTTTTTGTTCCTGTGTGAGGCTTTAAACTTTAAGACCTTCCCAATGCATAATTCTTGGAGCTCCAAATCATTTTTAAGATTTATCATTCCTTTCAACTTGTTCTTGGTTTTTGCTTTGATGGCCATATTATTAATCATATTGCCAAAAAAATTATTATCGATATGTATCAAATATAAATTATGCCAAATTACATTCGCTCTAGAATATGGTGCATCTCAAAAAGTACATTTGCTTTGTCCAATTATGACTAGTATCATAATTCAGAAGCCTAGATTCTATTAATATCTTCATTTCTTATAAAAGAGGACTTAGTGGTGAAATATTTGATGGCAATCAAACCAAATTTGTGCCACTATTTTCATTGTGACGACCTTTGATGGCTTTATTCCAAAAGACTAAAATGCCCCTTGGGCTACAATAGCTACCAAATACCCATGAGGGCAAAAACAGAAAAACATAAAATAAAAATAAACTACTACATAAAATGATGAAAATACAGATCATGATCGTAGTCGTCGATCTCCGGCATCTCCTGAAGGTACATGTGTCGAAATCGCTGCTGATGTCCCCATCACATTCGCTCTAGAATATGGTGCATCTCAAAAAGTACATTTGCTTTGTCCAATTATGACTAGTATCATAATTCAGAAGCCTAGATTCTATTAATATCTTCATTTCTTATAAAAGAGGACTTAGTGGTGAAATATTTGATGGCAATCAAACCAAATTTGTGCCACTATTTTCATTGTGACGACCTTTGATGGCTTTATTCAATATGGCCAGGGTAGTTTCTCTGCAATACTCCCCTTTAATTGCATATCATAAGTTCTAAATTCACCAATTGTTCACATGAGTTCCTACTTTTTTTTGAAATTTTATTTAAGCGCACATTCTTTCTATAAAAGTTTCAGTTCATCTCCTAAAAGCTATATGTAAACATCAGTTTTACCCTTTGGATTGTACGAGTCAAAAATAGTAATTATAAGAAACATGTATGGAGTTGTAATGCACATCTTACGGGTGAGATTTTAACGTGCAACTATGAATGGCCAACTTTGGTGAGCTAAGGCAAAATGCCTCTATTCCCGATATCTCCTTTTTAAACCTTCACTCTGATTTTACTGAAAAAGTTTCTGGATTTGTTTTCATCAGCTTTTCTTCATTAGACGGTACTCCTATACGTTTTGCGTACAATAATTATTGCACATTGTGTTCTTCAGTGTTATGCTACCACCGCTTTAAAATAGACAAACTGGTATTTCTGTTGGTTTAGCCATCCACTTTTTCTCCACCTTCAACTGTAGGACACTATTTAGGCACAATAACACTATAGAATAACAGATTATTCTTTATAATTCTTTCAGTAGGCTGTATTGCTGATGTAACTATACATTCGAATGAGCTGGATTACAAAGATTCTGTTTCAACTGGTGAAATTGTACGGAAAATCGAATCTCCTATAGACAAGCTCCATTCCTTCAGAAGCATCTTAGATGAAAACAGTAGTGAGGAGCATCTTTCTGTATATATTGGTGACTCAGTTGGCGACTTGCTTTGCTTGTTGGAGGCGGACATAGGCATCGTGGTTGGATCAAGCGAGAGCTTGAGGAGGGTAGGAAAGCAGTTTGGTATTTCCTTCATTCCACTTTTTCAAGGTTTGGTGCACAAGCAGAGAGAATTTGGGCCCGATGGGTCATTGGCGTGGAAAGGGAAATCTGGCGTTCTTTATACCGTCTCTGGCTGGCCAGAGATACAGGCATTCATTTTGGGACATGAATCTTTTTGAGAAGAATGTCCCCTATAGCTTGCCTTGTTCATTTAATGCATACAAAGGGGCTACTATACTACAAAGTGGCGTATTTTTAAGACAAGCCACGATTCGTATTCTATCTTTGATCAACCTCCTTGAGGTTTTTGCCCTAGAGATGAAGCCGCTGTGTTTGATCTTGCGCTTGGGTCATGACAGGTATGTGCTTATTGCCTGCCCAACTATAGATGATATATATGTAATATTAAAGTTTTAGGTGCTAAATATGCAAATAGAATAATATAGAATGGTATGTATGTAAACCAATTTATAAAACTTTAATGCATACCACTTTAACACCCAAAACTTTAATATTATATACATATCACCCTATATTGTTTTAATATCAAATATATCACTCATATTTCCTTCCTACCACTCATATATTTCATTTCTACCACTCATATTGATATGAAAATGAATTATGGGTGGTATATATATAATATTAAAATTTTATGTGCTAAATATGTAAATAGAATAATATAGAGTTGTATGTATGTAAATCTCTCTTATTTTTAATATGCTGTGCTCTTTGAAATTACTTTATTTCGCAGGTATGGTTTCACTCTCTGGACAGAGCACTTGTGATGTGAATTATCCAATATTATGGGATGATTTCTTTGAAGATATAAGGATTTTTTTTTGTTATTATTAGGAATGAGCTTCGTTTCTATTGGGGGATAGGAATGCTCATTGTAAAATGTTGTAGGCTTGATATATTCGATCAAACCACCCATGTCAATGCGTAATAATATATGTTGGTTAATTGGTTTTTTTTTTTGCTCGTGCTTTCCTGGCAGGTTGGCACGTGTGCATTTGCTTTGGCGAAGTTCTTTCCGATGTGTTTTATTCGGGAGTTTGCCATAATTATATATATGTTGTCAATTCTGTATGGAAGTTATCAATATGTTTTATTTATTTCTGCTGCACAAGTATCGATTGTTTCTCAACTTGTAAGCATTATTTATAAATTCCACAAATGTCCGAATATAATATTGATGGAGCATTGTGACTGATTATCTTATTTTGTACGTGTAAATTTAACTTGCTTAATTAATTGGTTTAATTTTAGCTCAATTTTGTATTAATTATTCTGTGAGAACGGTGAATGTTGAACGCCGTTTGGAGACCAATTAGAATGTGCTATGTCACCTTTATGCTTGGTACCGCGGCTCAGTAATGTTTGGTATTGTGGTTCGGTATTGCTGACGTGGCGCATTCTAGTTGGTCTTTGAACGACGTTCAGCATTCGATCTCCGTTTCTCTAATTTCAGCCATGAACATTGTTCAGCTAAATAAAAAATAGACCTTAACGGTATTACTACTCATAATCTCTTTGGAAATCCGAGGTCTTTATTGTCTTCAACGAACTTATATAAAAAGGAATTGGATGTGAAATGTCCTCTGCAGTAAAACAAAGCACAGCGTTTGCGTGCTTTGAGTTTTTTTAAACGCATCAAGAGCTTTCAGTAGATTCAATACTTTTTTATGCAAACTTCAACACAAATTAGAAGATAGCATTTGTTCTATGAGTGACATTTAAGTAATTAATCCACTTTTATCGGTGTGAATAAGTTTAGTGGTTATTTTTGCAAAATATGAAGCTTTCTTTCAGAAGAAAGTCTACTTTGTTACTTGCTAAATACTGCATCATTCGAAAAACTATTCATATAATGTATTTGCCAAACTTCTGTAAATTTTTTGCTTGAAAGTTGCTCGAGACCTCTATTATATTGATGCCCAAATCTCGAGTATCATAACTCAAGAAAAATCCTTGACGTAAGCTTAAAAATGCTTCACAACAATACGATTGATATGTAATAACATTTCATTGATAGAAATGAGCTAGTAAAGTTTGATTGTGATTCTAGAAGGAGAGGCTTTTCTCATTTATATGAATGGAGCATCATTTCAATGAAAGTTAGCTCATGCTTAAAATATTATTTAAGTGTGCTTGGCATATAAAGTACATTCTAAATAAGACTTTGTAAGGGATAGCTTTTTAGTTGTTTTATTTTTTAGAAATAAATAAATCACATTTTAGCTATAGTTTTCTTATTGTTTTTCATTGATTTTCAAAAATATAAGTATTAGAAGGCTGCTTTTGCATTTTGTTGGGGGAGCAAAACACGCAGAGAATACAAAGAAAATATAGAAAACTGCAGCGAAAAGAAATAATATTAGGATTTAATGTGAAAAATATTGAAATCGGAAAAAATCATAAAACCACATCATTTAAAGAAATTCGCTATGAAAATTTGAGAGAAATAGCATAGACATCTTCTCTCTCGCTATCTTCTTATCTCTCTTTACTCTTTCAATGTTCTCACACCTAAACAAATAAAGAGAAACTTACATAAAGTACTAAGGGATGCACCCCTCATGTAAAATGAGAAAGAAGACTTCCAACCCGTCTTGCAGTGTCACGACGCTACATTCTGTCTCCAATTTGTTTGATAGTGTCGCAACACTAGGGTTTGAAGTGTCCAACACTCCTTGATAGCGTCACGGCACTTGGTTTTAGAGCACTGCAAAGCCCTGCTCTTTATCTGTCACTAATAAAACTACAAAGTGTTGTAGTGTTCATGTACACAGTGCTGCAGCATTGTACAAAAAAATATATATTCAGCTGCAAAGCACTTGAACCTAAGCACGGGGAGAAGCCCATGCAACCCCCCATCGAGCTTGATTGATGGAATTGAGGTTCAAGGCAACAGTAGAACACTATTGATCGACACAATTATATTCCACACAAAACTAACACAATTAGAGTAGTTAAGTTGTGTTCCCTATAACAATTTCACGATCAATTTTATAAAATATTGTAGTCATCCCAAATAGGTCGTAAATCAATAACTTTGAATGACCAAAAATAGTTTGTTTATTCAAGATTTCATCTAATTCATAAACAAGATTGTGTAGGCACAAATATAGTTACTTGCTTTGATGTTCAAACAAGGTTGTGTAGGCATCAAAGAAGTACTTCGCATCTTTCCAAAGCAAAGATGGTTGCCTTTTTCAAGCAACAACAATATCTAAATATTTCATTCTCCCTTGCCTTTATCTCAAAAGGACTATTCGGGCATCTTCTCATAAATCGGTGCAATTGTCTGTTTCCATTATCCAATAATTCTTTGGTTGGAATGCCCCTGCTTTTCTCCTTAATTGGCCAATTCATTGGAAATTACAAAAAAAAAAAAAATCAAACATCAAACCTCAAGTTAACATCAAACCTCAAGTAATGCAACAGACTCACCTGATCAAATAAACTCTAATGTATGTTATTCACTATCTTCCTTGCAGCTCTTAGGGAGGGCTTCATGCAATATTTTTATAACAGAAGAATGAAATAACTTAGAACAAAAGAGTGCACGCAATGAAAAAAATAATAAAGATGGCATAGACAACACTAATATATTGATGGAATAAACGCAACCTCTCATATCAACTCATATTTTTAAATAATACATGTCACAAGTACTTTAGCATCCAATGATCTTAATCATGACCAAAGAGATTCTAATGGGTATAACACTAACTACACATAATGCTAATGAAAATAATAACCTGATGTGATTGGACAATACAATGTAACTGATGTGAAAAGACAGCGAAAGTTTGCACCAAAATAATCATATTAATGACTGTCCATTCCCAAAAAGTTAGGTAAGTGATTTTGGCGACTCTTGATTTTTTTAAATGATGAATTAAAAAAAATAAAATTAAAATTTTTAATTTTAGTTTCATTTTAAAAATATGTCCTTAAATTTTAACAAATAAACAATAAAACCTTCAAATTTTTAATAAATTAACTTTAATATAATATTTACTCATTTATTTTCAATTTAAATTGATCGTTCAAATCATCTATAAAAACTCGATATGATTAATTAACATAAAGTAAAAGTAAATTTCAAAATTTGTTAAAAAAGGACAAATTTCAAAATTTATTATCATGCCATAATCATAAATTAATAACATAAACTTTGCTTAAAACAAAATTTATATTAAAATATTTACACACTTCTTTTAATATTAATTTATCAAAGTATACAAAATATATATCCATTAAATAACTTTTAAAATCTTTATTCTATTAAAATCAACTATCATCGTTATATACTTTGTTCACTACATTTTTTTTATTGAAGCAGTCGCTAGGGATGCCCACGACTTACTCCAGCTCAGCGATTGTGCCTCATGTTAAAAAAAAAAAAAAAGGCCTCATTTTAAAAAAAAAAAAAAAAAAAACATGAGTAGCGCCTAATTTTAGTTATAATGGAGATGGTTTTAAAAATTTGACCTTTTTAAAATATCTATTGAGGTTTTATGTTTTGAAATTTGGTGGAAGATAGAAAGATCATGCACCTCTGATTGAATGTGCATACAATAATAGCTTTTAAGTGAGCATTGACATGGTTTCATATGAGGCTTATAATATTTAATGGGGTTGTAAGTAACTAGGGTTTAAGTTGGAGAAGTGAAGATAAAAGTTGGAAAAATTGCTTTGTACATGCCATGGCTCCAGGGCTGGTAGTGTGGCAAAATTGAGTTCTCATGAAAATAGAGAAAAAAAATGGGTAATGGGTGTGCACTGTGGTGCCAGGAAGCTCCGACATGGCTCTAGGTCTTAGGTGAGTATATTTTAGGAGAATTTAGAAGATTCTCTAGGAGCTTAGCAGCATTTGGGAGCTGAGTGACACGACGTTAGGTCAATATAGTGATTTCTAAATATTAAAGTATTCAAATCCATTTGACTAAACCACTTCATCCCAGCCTTGCCAAAGAAGAAAGGAAGGATATGAGGAAATAGTAGAGAGAGTGAGGAAGAGAGGTTTTAAATGCTGAAATCTAGAAATCACTTATTCAGCTAATTTTGGAATTTGTGATTTCAATTCCAAAATATTTATAAAAATATATGCTTATAAATGTGTTTATCTAAAGTTTGAAAAAAATTTCACAGCATAACTTTTACTGTATTGTTATATAGTTTGTTCTGGATAATTTGATTATAAGATTACAAAAGTTGATATGCTCTATATAAAATTTTGAAATTAAATGTGTCAATTCCGAACCCTAGTAAAATTCGTAAGTTGTGTCAACCCGATATTTTACATATCCTCTATAAAACTTGTAAAATTCTCAGAAATTTGAATATACATATGAGATTGGGGGTTTCTTGTATAAAACTTTGTATTTTTATATATACATGCTTTAGTTTCGCAGTTGTATATTATATTTGCATTATTATGCATTTCATGGCATTCTAGAGCTCTGTTACAAAAATGAAAGTGCGCATTAAATTTTGAGCTCAGGGTCAATGTAATTGTATCTCTATTCTGGACTCCTTTATTCCACTCTAATTCTAAGATGACTTTGTGTTGTAATATACTTTGTTCTATTCTAGCTATGTTATGCAACCATCTCAAGTAGGTGTGAGGTGGTAAATGAGAGTTATAAGTGGACATTAATACATATGCATTTCTACATTCATATTCATATGTAATATAGTATGCCAAAGCTATAGAGTAAACAACAATTTTATTATTTTATTTATTTTAATTATGAAATGTGAATTGAACTTTAATATGGGGGAAAAATGATTGACATACTGAGTTTTATATTCATTATGTTATTTAAAATATTTATGGCAAATGAAAATGTCCTGGTGAGTAGATTGAGTCTAATAAGGAGCAGAGAATCTGATTTTATAAGGTATATATAATTTTGTAGTTCAAAATGTATTTAAGGCTTCATTTGTTTTTTTTGTGTTTTTGTAAAAGACAGTTTTAAAAAACATTAGTTCAGAAAATGAAGTTTTCTAACGAAGAAGCATATATAAAAAGTTTTCTCAAAACTGCAAAAAATGAAAAAAAAAAAGAAGGTATTGGGAACGTGATTTGACGAACCAAACAAAAAAAAATATCTCCGTTCCAAAAATGGAAAAGGCAAAAAAACACTCAAACAAACAAAGCCTAAGTATTATGTTGCAATCATTGTATTATAAACTATTGATATTTAAATTTTCTTAAAGAAATATCTATATGCATATTTTGTGAGTTTATTTTATACTTTTTGGATGATTAGATGGATCTGAAGAAAGGAAAAGTTGGATTGATAATTAATAAACGAAAAAAAGGATAAATTTCTCCTTTCAGTCTTGGAGATTATAATGTGCACTCAATATTATTTAGTATGCTTATAGTATAACAAAAAATGTATATTGAACTAAATAAATAATAAATGTATGCATATTTTGTATTTCATGCAATCCTGATCATTTTATATTCAACATATACTACTCATTTCAATTAAAATGATATATAAACAAAACAAACAAGTAAAAATTTTATATTAACCAGTTAAAATGCTCATTGTGATGATTTCTATCATAGATTAAAAAGTATATAATAGAAAATTATTAAAACAAGAGTTATAATATTTTAATCACTTTTAGGAGATTCAAATCCGAGAAATCAAAATCATCAAAAATATGAATTTGATTCAGATTATCTATCACGATCAGAAGAAATCTCATAACAGATTTGATTAATAAAAATGCCATGTTGTCCTCATTTCGGTCCACCTTTATGCTTTTTTTTCTCATCCAACTTTTTTTAAGATGATTGAAATGAAAAAGTACTTCGAGGGCTCATATATACATATTAGGGCTTCCAATATTATTAATGTAGATCACTATTTTTTGGCAAGCGACAAAGCAAATTTATAATATTTGACACAAATGATATATATTTGTTTTTATGGAAATATTAAATACATAATATATCATGCTATTTACAGATCTAATACCCGAAACGTTAATATTACTTGACTACCATCTATATAACAAATATGAGTGTATGTAATCAAATATTAAAGTATATAAGGTATTATGAGTGGTAGGAATGAAGTATAGGAGTGACATATTTGATATTAGAGTTGCATATGGGTGATAGGTATGCAATGCTAATGTTTTAGATACAAGATATATAACTAGCATGAAATAAAGGAACAATTATTACGTCCTACGACCGGACGTAGAGGAACGTCCGGTCGGAGGCCAAATCGCGCCAAAAAACAAGAAATACCGAGCAAATACTGACCAATACCAAACAATAACGAGGAATACTATCACGTGAAGACCCAATACCAAGTTATACCGAGCTATATCAATCAATACAGAGTTATACAAAAGTTGTACCGAGTTTTTCCTAGAAATAACTCGGTACAGCTCGGTAATTCTCGGTATAACTCGGTATTGGTCTTCACAGAGCGGTATTCCTCGTTATTATTAAATAATATATAGCAATACCGAGCAAATACCGAGTTTTTTGGCGGAATTTTGCCTCCGACCGGACGTTCCTCTACGTCCTTACACGGGACCTAATAAAAATTTGAAATAAAGAGATGTATGTGAAGATTTACATACATACCTCTTTGTTGCATGCCTAAATTTAAATAAAAAAAAATAACAAAAACCTTTTTTGAAAATGGTAAAATTATTTAGGGCAGCTATCCGTCTCCGCACCACAAACCCTGCCGGCTCGCGCTGACGGAGTAGCACCACTAGGCGATTTATCCGGGGTTTTCGTCGCCGATTATTCTTGTCGATATCATTTGGCAAACAAGCACTCGCTTTGTGGTTTGATTGCCGAATCTTTGTATTCCTTCGTCAACTTTTGCTGTTTGATTCTGCATAAGATGTTTTCGTTTTGCTGATTCTACTTACTTTCATTAAGCTCAAGTTGATTCACTTGACTGAAATTTTATATTGATATATGATCATAAACCCTTGTGCAACATTCCTGCGTTTCCCTTAATTTTTTTTTCTTAGAGCTGAGTTCCTTTCGGCCCATTAGTTGATGTTTGATTTTATTCGAGCGGGATAAAATAGCGCATGCTTGGCCAGTTTAAGTGACGATTTTCTAGGTCATCAGAGATGCTCAATATTGATTCTAAATTCGATTGGCAGTTAGGAAAACACAAACAATCTGTACTTTGTATTTCAGCATACTCCAGATAACAGGGCAACGAGATCAAGATAAAAAACGACTGGTTAAATAAAAATTCCCAATTCTCAATTAAACATAGACATTAATTTGATTAAAAACTAATTTACAGTAAGTGGCATAGTTGATGTTTTTAACACCAAAACCATAGAATACATAATTCAAATAATGTTGCTATATCAATTTAAGGAGCAGGGCAATTCATTAAATTCATATAAGAAAATCAATGTAGTTTTTGCAGTCAAAGATTTGAGGTTGTATAAGAGGAAACTTGATTTTTCACATCAAAGGGGAATCCTGTATTACAATAGAGGTATAAGCTTGTGTTAGAATGCTAGGAAATTAAAAAAAAAGGGTCAAATAAGTTAAATCATGGTTGCAACTTTATAATTAATGCATAACTTATCGGGCTTTCATTTCATTCCATTCACTTTCCTTATATCCAGATAAAGTTTGAGTGATGTGGATCATTCAAGATCGAGGTTGATTTCATCTTTCACCATTTGGTCTGGTATTACATCTTTGGGCAGTGCTTTTAGATTGAAGGTTTGATATGCCTTTTAGTTTCTTATTAGTAAAACTGTTAATATTGTTAGTAGCTGTTCTTTATGTGTATGTTTCCTTTCTTTAGTGAACCTTTTGGTCTGGTATGCCTATTCATTCTTTAATGAATAGCATCAAACTTTGGAACAAACACGGTTGGATTTGAATCACCGCTTGGGATCAAAGCAGCAAATACACAAAACAATGAAAGTGATCCAACATAGATGAAGATAGCAATTTTTATATGGTCATGTGTGCACTAGAGAGGTTCAATAAATTGATCTACTTTCAAACTGCTGCGCATTTATACAATTAATTAGGTTCAATAAAAATTCCCCAAAATTCAAATACCATCAAATATCATAATGAACAGAAACCCTAAAGTTGTCAAAACAAATGATAGCAAAGCTTCCCAATTTCCTCCAATTGAAGAAGACTAATGGGAGTTTGTCTGTTTAAGTGACAAAATCCACAAAGAAAGATTATTAACCTGGAGATTAGAACCCGATGTATTTGAAGATCTTTAAGTTCACACTCATCAGACCTGACAACCGCGTCACTGCACAATTGTGTGAGAATATACTTCAATGAGGTGCAAGCAAGTTGCTTCCTGTCACCGACACCTACAGCTTAGCTTACCAGGGAGCTGTTTAGCTTGTTTAAGTTTTGAGAGGTATGATCAGTTCTCATTCATAAGGGCATGTCCCATGTATGAAGCTTCCGTTAACGCAAGTTATGAGGAGGGGTTAATGTATGTAGTTTGAACCTTGGATTGCAGAGTGTTTCTATTTTTTAAACCAAAACTTGTGCAACCAAATCACAATAGAGGTCTCCTAAAATTGCTCTAGGTCCAACCATTGCTTAAATCCAAGACATCAATTTAATTCTCCTATCAATTGTTATTCACCTTTAAAAGAGATTATTCTCATTGGCATCGTTGAGTTGATTTGATTGAGCACCATTGGCTTGGTAAATCTTAGCAAAAATTGTTTTGCCTTCTAGGCTCATTCCAACTTGAGCTTGTTGTTGATGAAAATGCTCTTATTATGCGGTTGTAAAAGGTTTGAACCGTATTGAAAATTTTCCAGATTTTGGTGCGTGAGGATTAACCATTATAAACAATCATATTCTTTCTTGAATACTAAAACTTGTTTGGAATCTTAAGCTTATGACAAGTGACTTAATTATTAACAGAAAATTCTGTTATGCTGTGTATAAAATTCAAGTTGCTTTGGAAATTTTACAGGTTTTGGTGCTGAAGCATATCTTAACCATATGAAGGAAATTCCATCTTTGTTCTCTTTGTGTGTGAAGATAATCACATGGAATATCATGCATGGTATGTCACGCAATAATATTTACAAGAGGTGTTAACTGGTTTTGAATCCTTTTCCATTTTTTTTTTTGAATGCTACTTATTTTTTTCCCTTACCGTTGATTTTAAGGATGTGGGCAGCCACAAGACCTTTTTGAACTTCCATCAGTATTCCTTGATGGCTTATTGATGATGCTTCCTCCATTGGCTTTGCAAAATATTTATGAGCTGTTAGTAATCTTTCACTTATGCTTGCTCATTTTTGTTTGTTAAAGTTCCAAGGTTAAGAATTTGACTCAGTTGCAGAGTTCTACTGTCAGTTTATTGCTTTGCAATTTTGTGGATGTTTTCTGGTTCATTAAATAATTAACGCAGTGGACCTTTTTCATTTCTGCATTCATAAGACAGAACAATTGGCAGCACCACCGTGGAAGCATCCATAGTCAATAGCATCAATATTAGAAAGAAACGTGGGAGGTGATGAGAAACATGCATATTTTGCTTCATTGCAAAATTTGATATTTTGAAAGAAAATAACCGATACATGCTAAAGTTTCAGGTACAATGAATCACGTGCAGCATGGAAGACGTTGTATAAGAAGCGATGGCCTGAAAATATTAAATGGAAAGATCAGTCTAGTTACACAGCTGGTGATCATTGCGTGGAAGCACATGAATCAACGGCTTCTGTTATTGATTGGCAGCAGCTTTACTGGGAGCGGCATCTACAGGAGTATGCTATTTTACTTGAATGGGATCAAAATTATATTGTCTTGCATGGATTGTTTTGATGCTAATGCAATCCATTTTAATTTATCAAAAAAGCTGTTTGGATGCAGCTACTGAGCAAGCATTGCTTCCAGCATTTGGCGGTAATATTGCTGAACTGAAGATTCCAGGTAGCAATTTGTTCAGTGTGCAAATTTGTTCGTTACATGAAATTTAATTTTGCATCGAGTTTCTGTTAATTTGACTTGTTCTCAAATTACAATATTTCTGTTTGGTGAAGCATAATGTAATGATTCATAAATATGAGCTTCTTTGGCATATTTAATTTATATTCTGCTTTGCGGAGAGGTATTGCCAGTTCCTTTTGGTATTTGACATTTTCTTTATCTGCAATAACTATTTGCTTGGAGAATAATAAGATGCTTAGCTTTCCTGCTGCATTGGTGTTTGCCATTTATGGATCTTGTGGACAACAGTATTATGAAATTGCTATAGAGTAATCCAAAAAAAGTTATAGAGTTAAATTTGAAAAAGAAATGCAAAGGTAGATCATGAGACCTAGATGAGTTATTGATTGAGATCCAGAGAGTCATGTAAGATTCTAAATTAGTTTGGTTAATAATATTTTTAATGAAATCTTTAAGACAAATGTTTTCAAATGATTATAGTGCTTTGGTGTCATTTTTTAAGAAGAAAGAAAATATTCAAAATTGTGATAATTACAGGAGAATCAAAGTTATAATGCTACTTGAGGTGTTAGCTACGATTTGCAGAACTTCTTGTTGTTTTCCTATGGATTGCCTATTTTCTTACCTAATCTTTTCATATTAATTCTTTCTACTCACCTTATTGTTGAGTCTTATGCTTGCCTAACTTCACTTTTCATTGTAGAATCGGTGTTACTTACACAATCCCAATATAATTAAATCTTCATCTTAGTTTTAGATGCATCTCATTCTCATTTTTTATTACTTAACTTGATCATTATTTTTTCCCCTAATATTTGGACTCATAAATCATAACCTATCTAAGGTTTTATAAATTTACACGTCGTCATGATATCCCCAAATGGCATGGTAGTAGGAGGGAATGCCTTCATGTTGTTCTTTATTGCTTTGATTGGAAGTTTGAAAATTGTACCAAAAATGAAATCCTCAAATAACTGTTTCATTGAGAAACTCAATCCAGTGTCATCACCACATGATAACAATCTATTATCTGTACTAGGAATGTTGACGTAGGCGTAATATGATAGAAATTCCACATGCTTTCAACATGAGATTAGTATCATATTGTTCTCTATTAAAATACGCTGAAGCACTAATAGTTTTTTTTCGGTGGGCATCTTAGTCTAAGGGATTAAGCTGTGAGACCTGTTTTCCAGACAACTTCCTAAGGGAAATTATAAGACCTACCCAAACAATTAAAACTCCCGGGCAGACTTGCATAGAGTTAGGTTGTAAGACCAATTTTTGGGAAACTCATAAATAGAGCAGTAAGCCCCATTCCAATTTAAATCTCCAAGTTATTTTCTATGAAAGCCGTAAGTACCAATCTAAATCTAAATACCTGGGCTACTTCCTAAAGAAATCATAAGACCCTCTCCAATCCAAACTCCTGGGTTACTTCTAAACGAAGTCATAAATCGCAAACTAAACTAATTTCTGGGTATTCTAATAGATGTAAACCCCAAAACCAAAACAAAATTAAAATTAAAATCACTTCAGTCTACTCGGGATCCAGAGGAGGCAACCCATGGTTGCTAATGAGATTCTCTGGATACCACGGTAAATGATTATTAGTGTTGGTAGACTGAAACTATGGTATACTCATGATGACGAGACCAAGAGATCTCGATTTTCCCCACAATTGAGACTAAATGACTTAAAATTTGTTCATTTTTAATTGAGAGTTCTCCCACGGAAGTAAGGACCCCAGATCTACACACCAACCTCAGTGAAAATCTGGTTAACTACAACCTGACTTAAGAGAAATTGAATCCTACAGCTACAATGCGGGATTCATGCATTCATGCCGTTTTTCTTGAGCCAACACTTGAAAAACTTGAGAAGGGAAAAATTATAGTTCTGACATTGTTAAATCATTATGCTAGTTTGAGTCATGAGTTACGAGCAGTTGGAGAAGGCATTAGTACCATATGGTAGATATGACCTATGCAAAATGATTTGATGGTGGAAGTATGAAAGGTCTTGAGGTATTAGAATTGCCAGTAGGGGATCATTGGTAGTCTTCTCAACCATCCAAATAGGATAATGACCAAACAGGCCAACATTGATCTTGGTATTGATGGTGGCCATCAACATTAGTGTCAACAATTGACATTGGACTTGTTGGCATTGTAGGGCATCTGAATTGGTGCTGGCATTTAGTTTCGATATTGGTGTCGATCACGGGAATCAACATTGGTGTCAACTACGAGTGTAGGGTTTGGTGATGGCATTGGTGTCTATGACGGGAGTTGACATTTTTGTCAATAATAGACACTGAAGGTAGTGGCGATGATAAGCATTGGTGTTGGTGAGGATGGGGAGTGTTGGCATTAATGTTGATAGTGGGCCTTGGCATTGATGTTTACAATGACATTTGACTTTTTTTTGAAATGCATGCATCTTTGTTGGTGTTGATGATGGGTTTCAATGGTGATGTCGATGATGAGTTTCAACGGTGGTGTCAATGATAGGTGCTGACCTTGTTGTCGACAATGAATATCAACATTAGTAGTGATGGTGTGCATGAGATGTTGATTGAGGTCTTGTTTTTCTCATTTGGAATCTTTCTTGTAGTCTTATCCCACCATTTTTAAATGTATGGAAGTAGGGCCTATTTATAAATTTCTAAAGAGAAAAATTCAAGTAATTTCTACCATAAATTGATAACTCTAAACTCCATGTTGATGCTCCTTGATCATATAATATTTTTGTAAGCATTTTGGTGTGTTAATGATGTTAGAATTTGGTGATCATATGTCTAATTGAGGTGCACATTTTGACTAATTTGTTGAAATAGAGTGTTGACGGTCTTAAAGTTGATTTCAATCATTTCTCATTCAAGCACTTGCATCAATATCCATGGGTAATCGAATGATTTTTTTTTATGGCATATTAATAATAATGCTAATGATAATAATTATTTTAGTATTATTAGTAATGATGATAATGATGATGACGATGATTGATGATGGCAGTGATGGCGGTGTTGATAGTAATGATAAATGATGATAATATAATAAAGAGGCCATAATGCAAGAAATGATGATAACATTAGTAGTAATGATGATGATGATGATAATGATAATATTGGTAATAATAAAGACGATATAGTGCAAGTAAATGGATCTAGTAGCATGATTTGGGCTTTCTATTTAGCTTAAATTGAATGAACTTTTTGGACCACCTGAGATATGCTTTTTTATTAAGCATAAAAGTTTTCAGGACCTTTCATATCTAGTTATGTTAATGTTATTTTTAGTTATTTATAAGATCCTTTGGTGGTTGTAGATAGCATTATGAGTTTGATTGGTCACATTGGAAGTGGGGATTGCAACTGTTCAAATTTATCATACCACTGCAATAAGTTTGGGTGCTATGCCAGGTATTCACCTCATTATCATTCTTCCAGTGTTCTTGATTTGACTGATTAAATGTATAATTCATCTGAATTCCCACTTGAACTTTTACATTGGAAGGCTTAGCTTGTTTACTTGCTCTAAGAATTACAAGTTGTTGGGATGCACCGGGCACACCTATATGGTTGGGCTTAGGATTTACTACAATTGAAGCTCATACGAAAATGAAGGCCTTGGCTTTTTGAGTATGTTCATTTTAGTCCCTTTGAGTGTTTGTAAAGGGATGATTTTCTGCAATGAGTAGCTTCTTTCTTAGTATGTTCATTTGCATTGACTATTCATAATTGATCAGATATTGATATTAAGTTCGATCAGTTTATTTCTGTATTTCAGATATATATAATGTACAGACTTAAAGTCTCTAACTTATATCATTATCATGCATATCTTTTATACAATCTAAAATTTATACATTCAAAAACTTTAGAACAAAAAAAGCACCTGCTATTCCTCGTGCCCCTTTCTTTTTTCTGAAATCATAGATTAGTATCGAGTAAGCTACACGCTGAGTGAGATAATCATTTCTAACATTAAGTTAAATATACCATGAATGTAAAGAAAATGCAGTACTGATCATATGATGTAAAAGAAACAATCATATTTAATTTAGTTCATACTTCATAAATGTCAATTCATTGTGTGAGTTAGGAGTCATTAGCATGAATGAGTAAATTAGGTGTAACAAGTATAACTATTACCTAATTATGAAATTAATCATGTAATACTCATTTTTCTTCTTTTACTTTTTTTTTATTATTAATACTTTTGAAATATCATATTTTCAATGTCACATCATGCTCCTTTGCATCATCATCCTCTTAATAACAGTTGGGCTAACGCTCCATTATTATGAGACACAAATTTTCTTTTTATAATTTTTATAAATGTCAGGCTAACCAATTCTCTTGTATCAATTGTTAGAAATTTATTTTTATTAGTCTTTTCATAATAAAATTTGGGCTAACCTACTCTGTAGTATCAAGAATTATCTTTTCTAGCGTTAACCCACCTAACTCATGATATGGTTTTCATACTATTCTTGAAGTTTATTATAATTAGTTTTATCTTTCTTATTCCTTGGCATTGATATAGACATTTATTTATCATTTCATGATAATGTGCATACATGATAAAACATGTTACATGTAAACAAATACCAATTTTGCATCATTTTCTGTTTAACAATCTTATATTTGAAATTTAGTGAAGATTAGCTTGAAATCATATAATTTTAATGAAGATTAACTTTAAATTTAAGTACTTGTGGGCATTATTTCAATACTGGGATGGGGAAGTATCAAAAACTTATACACACTTTTATAAGTGCGGTGGGTATGAAGATTCAACCATGGTATCTCATGATACCGACCATGCATATTTTTTAAATTTGGCGGGAAGTTTAGCACCCTTGAAGGTTCCCCTATGCTAGGAGGTTGAAAAAATTTGTATTGAACAAACTCATAAAGGATATTTAAAAATAAAATTAAAGAATGAAATACATGTTAGGAATGAAAATTAATCGCTTAACATATCATTTAAGTCACAATTGAAAGAAGAAAATGACAAACATTGAATTGGACATAAGAGACTTAGAGCACAACAGCTCACCTACGAGTGTAAATAGAACTTTCCCCACTCTTAGAACACCCATAATCTATCTACACTCGACTCTTAAGAACTAAAATACATTCATATGAACTTAGATGGGATGAAAGAAATCAAGTTGGGCGTGTGAACGAGTCGAGTCTTGCTTAGTTCTTACCGAGCTCAAGCTCGACTAGAGCTCATTTACTAAGATCGAGTTCAATTCATTAAAAAATTTATAGGTTCGAGCATGAATCGATTGCTCAAGCTTGTTTGGAAAGCTCGAACTTGACTTAATTGTTGAGCTCAATTTCTTAGTTTTATATTAAAAATTTCATTTGTTATAAGAATTTTTACTTTAATGTAAAATTAATTTAAAAAGATTAAAATATATTATATAATGCTAGTTTAAATTAGTTTTAAGTATATTTTAAGTTAATTGAACGACTCAATGAGCTTACGAGCTCGAGCTTGTTTAATATACGAGCTTGAGTATAGGCTCAAGCTCGAACTCGTGGCTCAATAAGCTCAACTTGTGAGCTCGTTAACAAGTTGAGATCGAGCCGACTCAGCTCACTTACATACGTAGACCAAACCACATCCCTCCCAGTTAGGAGAAAATTAGATTCCTATAAGGGTCCTACCAAACTAAAATACATTCATATGAAGACAAAATTTAACAATTTTGAAATATGTGACAAGATTTCAATGAACAAAAGATGTGTATTTAAAATTAAAAAAAAATAAATTTTGCATGCATTTTAATGACAATTGTTTGCGCAAATAATTAAAAATTGAATTTTTTTTTAAATTAGGCATGCATCACATCATAACTTTCAAATTCAAATGCGACATGTCATAACGTGTAATTGCCTCTAGATTGTGCAAACATATCAATAATCATGAAACTGCCTTGAGAAGTGTACAATCGCCTCGAGAGGCTTGCTGCTAACTCAAGAATTGTGCCACTATTCTAAAAGAATGCATGTCTAATGTACAAATGCATTGAAGAATGTGTAAGAGTCTAATGTAAAAGCACTGAAAAGCATGGAAGTACATCGTGCAAATATACTAAAAAAAATGTAAAAAAACATAGTGCAAATGTACCAAGCAGCGTGTAAGTGCATTTTGCAAATGTAAATACATTAAAAGTTATGCAAGTGCATCATGCAAGTGTATTGAAGACCACATAAATGCATTGAAAAGTGTCCAAAAATGCATCAAGAACAATGAACAATGTGCAAATTTATCATGCAAATGTGCTGAAAAATATGCAAATGCATTGTACAAATATATCAAAAATATAAAAATGTATTGAAATACGTGCACAACATATCAAAGCATTGAAAATCATTTGATAGTTTGACAATTTTGTATGAATTAAAATAAGATGAAATTTAAATTCGCTTGCATTGTTGTACCTAGTCCAAGAATCTAGCAACCTTTTTGGAAAAATGAGTAACTATTTTTGAAAATTCATTAACTCTCTTTTGAGGGGTTATTTAATTGGATGTAAAAGAAATGCATTGTGTTTGAAATGTTAAGGAGTTTTTTGGATTAGTGTAAAATAAATGCAGACAACTACTTTTTTTTATTTGGCTTGAAGTAAAATGAATGATGTGTAAAGTCTAAATATGACAGTAGCGGGGTGCTGACAGCCGACTATAGGGATGACAGTGACAGCGGCCAGTGATGGGTGGTGGCCGGTGACTATTGGTGGCGATTGGTGGTGCTGTAGGGCCGGCGGCGACTAGCGTTGGGCCGGTGGCGTTTGATGGTGACTGATGGCGGAGTTGGCGGTAGGCGGCGACAATGGTGATGAATTTGTGGTGTATTTGAAAATCTATCAAGTCTGAGGAATTCTAAATACACCAGATTTATCCTAGAGGGTGCAGCCCAACTACATCAAAATTTACATTGTATTTGTTTTACTTTAAACCAAACATCAATATTCTTAAAACCCTTACATTTGGAATACTTTACACTTATTTTACTTCAAGACAAACCACCCCCAAGTGCAAATTCAAGCTCTCATTTTACTTCAAACCTCGAGTGGGCCACCCTACTTATAGGATTGGGTCATAAGTCCCACATTTCAAGGTCTAATCCTCGTTATAGGATTGGAATCGACAAGACTTGAATGTTGTGACAAACATCTACACAACAAATCTAGAATAATAATTTGTTCAATTTTACGTTTGTATATGTCCTCCAATGCTTTAAACAATGTAAGTCTATTTTTAAAATACAATCTCATGATATCACGTCTACAAATGCAACTGTATGTGTTAATTACAAACCCACTCCTCTATAAGCAAGTTGTCTGAGTCGACAATGTTAATAATAGCAAAATGAAAGCATTCAAATACCCATCGATGATAGTCCTGTTGAAAGAAAATTCAATTGGTGGAAACTCTATTCTCAAAATGCCTTCTAAACCTTAGTACAAAATTATTTAGGATCTAAATTCTAATAAAGGTCTAAAAATTCAAAGTCATCTTAAATTAATTATATGGAAGTGAGATCTACCACTTGATACTTAAAACAATAGTCGTCCACCCTCCACAGTTTTTTGAGGGACATAAATTTAAGAATAATCTTAAGCTCACAAAAACCCATTTTTTTGTCAACTATAGAAACCCTTTTTTTTGTCAACTATATCACTATATTCACTCTAATATAATTTCTCACCAATAAGGATGTGTCACGTATCCTCTAATCAATGTTTTGCCACCAAATAACACTATAAATAAATGGTTATGATCGAGACCCTCTAATGGAATGATCTTCTGCAAAATGACACCGTTAAATTACGATAATAACTAGAGCTCATAAATTCCCCAATTGCTTTAAAAATCATTAAGTTATGAATCATAGGATACTCTTAATATTGCACAAAGCTTCTCATTAGCTAAGGTTGACTTATTGCAGCTTTTTTTAATTGCTAATTGTTGCTCTATTATGTCGATCTTTAATGACTTAAACTCTCCCTTTTGAATGTCTTTATTTCTTATTCCTCATTTCTTTTCTAGATTGGTAAATCATTCCTGCTTGCAAACCATGGCCTCTCGAAATTGATTGTAATTTTGTTTTAATCGATGATCATTGTTATATCATGTAGGTCTTTAATAACTTTGACAAACTTATTTTTTCTTAATGTCATGCACATTAAATCGATTACGATGGTAACTGTTCATACAAGTTTTCAAGATTTGTAAGAATCATAGAAAGATTCTTTTGTTGCTCTTTAAATTTTTTTGCTAGCTGCATTAGTACAAATATTATTTTCATAGTAGATTTTTTGGGCTTAAAAACTAAAATACCAAATTAATACTTTCAAATTAACATGAATTTTATCGAGCTATTTATAGAGGCGTTTCCT